AGATATTCTATAGTTCAATCCTGGAAGTTTATACTCTTAGACACTTTGCGTGACGAGCCTTACTGGATAATGGATGTCATATATTTGTAACCATGTTACCAAGTGACAGGTAATTGGTTAAGGGATCAGTTATATACCGTACATGGGGATTGCATTTATGAACTCTGTTGAAGGAGGTATGCCCCAGAAATGTGTGAATTCTTTAGAAACAGGCGCTAGATGGTCGAGCATATGAAGTTTCTGCACTTTTAGATACTACTTTGTTGTTCTGTCATGAGCATCTTGGATGCGGAAATCATGGCGTTACATGCCTGTAATCATTTGTGTGAGTATTTGTAACCATTTTTATCGATCCAATTAAATACATGTGCTTCACAAAGAGAGGGCGCTGTCCTTTGTGTGTGTTTCTTTGCATATGTTTAAAGGCCTCCTTGTCGGATTTGGGCAGCTGCCTTCCTCAATGAAGATTTGTATTATGAAGATCTGATTAAACAATATATGATCTGCCAGAGACTCCGGTTTCAGTCTTTTGGTTTTGTGAACATGCTGTTGACAGTGGAAAAGGAAACTGAAAAAAATTGTAAAGTGCATGGCCAGCTTTACAACCTCAGTTGCTTTGCTGCCTCTCACACCGAGCACTAGATTTTAATATCCATCCAGATTTACGCCCTCTGATGCTTCTCACCCTATACTGTCACTGTATATTGTCATAAATCAGAAGTCTGTTCATGCAGACTTGTAACGTTTGTGATATGTCTACTGTAAACAGGCACATACAGCAGATCATGCAAGGGCAGGTCTGTCTTGTATTGCAGTGGCTGGTAAGAGATCTTCCTGTCTTCACTAAATCACATGGGACCCATGCCATTCTCTCAACCTAGCTAAGCTGCTGTACAAATGCAGCAAGCACAGGAAAGAACGCCTGTTCCCTTTGTTGCAGAGAATGGGGAGCAATTGACAAATGATTGAAAAGATCTCTTTGTGAAATAATGAGCACGTCTTACATTCAGTAGTGTTCATTATTGCTCTGTTGTTAACCCCATCAAGGCCTGATTACTGCAAGAGATCCTTGAGATTCATGTTGGTATTCACTGAGATGTGTGTGACTACCCCTAGTGAATTTGCAACCTTACATTATAAGATAATCCTTAAAATGTGTAGGAATATGTTGCTAGACCTATTCTATTTCAGCACATGACTCATTCTAAAAAGAAATGTCTGAAAAAATGTAAATCTGTCTGTGCTTCCATACATGAATTAAATGTTTTATGATAATGCAAATTAGCCTTGGGTGCCAAATGAATGTGACATGACACATTGCTGCTCATGTGAGCAGTGTATGACTACTACACTTTATTCATTTACTCTTTCATCTGAACTCCTACAGCTGTGCAATATATCAACCCACTCTTTCTGTGCGGTAAATACTTTTGTTCTGTTCATTCTTTAAGAATTACATTTGGATGACTTCAGATTTAAAGCATGTATCAGCCTACCTGTCTGTTCATCTAAGAATCTAGCTATACCTCTCTTTTTAACTGTCTATATGTCTGTCTATCTTTCTTGCTTTAAATTATGATTTGTGAATGACAACGCTTATAGTGCCCACTTACAGTATATACATATCATGCTGAACTACAGGCAAATACAAAGATGACACACAGATATGCAGCTGATTTACCTGCCAGAGGTTTTGTATTTCTGGCCATCCATCCATGTGAGATTTACACAGCTCTGCCGCACAGCACAGTCCTGCCTGGCAGGGCAGGGGACCTAATATTTCTCTGCTGCAGTTAAACACCGCTTACAGGTCTTGTCCCCCTCCCAGTGCCAAGGAGAAGGGAAGACTGATGAGCGCATCTTTCTGTTACTATGCTCTCTTCTCCTATCAGCATGGTTATTGTTAGTACATAAGCATTGCTGCACAACTGACTTGCTCCTTCTGCTGCTTTTCCCTCCCCCAGTATAAGCTCTGCTGTACAGGGACTGCAAGAGGCTAATACCACATCAAATTTAAGTACTTACCCTTAAAGATACATTTAATGGTGTGTTAATAAATATAGATATACAGTATATTAATTTGTGTACAGCATTGATGTAAACCCTAACTGAATGATATTTAGTCCAAGTAATAAAAATATTATCTGAGAACCCTGGGTGACTTTGAGGCCACCTAACACCGTGGTATTGCCTCACAATGCCACACCATATAGCTATGGATAGATACAGTAGATCTATTTATCTATATAGCTATATAGATAAGTAGATCTAATATATATATATATATATTCAGTATATTTATTCTTACAGTATTGGGAGAATATACTTACCCACTTGCGTTTCTACTACCATCATTGATGTCAGTGGGCATTTTTTGTTCTTACTTATATCTTTGGATCATCCTGACGTCTCCAAAGCAGAATTAGGATTGGGCGTTGAGAGCAACCATCCAGAGAACATGTGTGAGACAAATGTATTCTCCCCAAGCGCATACTCTAGGTTGTGTACACCATTATTGGGCCACATCTCTTTTGTCAGCACATCCGCAATAACAGTAATGGCCCGTTAACACGAGCCTGCAGCATTTCCCCTTGAACTTGTGTCCACTGTGTGTGGTGCACTGTTTACATTTTATTTCTTTTAAACTTTACTCAAATGTCAAAAAATTAAATTTCATTCAAGTTAGTGTGCCGCAGTTGAGTTGTGCTGTAGTGCCTTCCAGTCCAGTGAGTTGCAGAAAGATGTGGCATGCCCGCATTTTTCCACAATGCACAGCAACTCACCTGAAGTCAGTGCTGCAGTGGTAACAGGGCACATAGAAAATGATTGTTTTCTGTGTTCCCTGATGATGACTTGCGTTGTTCTTATGCAGATAAACACAGGTTATACAGATAGAAGGGAATTTATTAAAAACTGGAGCAGACAAAATCTGGAGCAGTTGTGCATGGCAACCAATCAGCTTCTCTTTTATTTTCAAATCCTAACTAAACAAACTGAAGAGAGAAGCTGATTGATTGTCATAGGTAACTGCTCCAGATTTTGTCTGCTTCAGTTTTGATAAATTCCCCCAATATTTAGGCAATGGACACCTGCCCCCCCACCCCCATCCCTAATTATGCCGGAAATGTTTGCTGAAACCTAGAATTTTCTTTTTTTTCCACCATTACTTAGGTCTCCATACATTAGACCAAATAAAGGCACACCCAAGGAGGAAAGGGACAGAGGGATTTGGTTCCAAATGAGGGACAGTCCCTCCAAATGAGAAATATTTGAGAGGTTTGCAGGAAGTGTATGTATGCACGTATGGTGTGAACAAATCCCTAACTATTAATCCCCTTGCCTTCCATGTGATGGAGATAAAGAGAGCAAGACATGTTTGCAGTCCTGTCCCTGCATAGGTTAATAAGCGTAGCTACCCAGGGCAGGAAGTGCGTTTTTTGAAGGATTATCAGGTGACAATAAATGAAAAAAGAAAACTAAAGCAGCCGTCACATCTAAATACTGTTAAACTGTAATATATAAAATTTTTGTTTTTGAGCTTAGATACGTTTTTTTGCCTGTATATGTTAAAAAGCTAACTGGGAATTAAATGGTATTGCATAGATACATTAACCACCTTACGTCCGGCCGTTGTAACTATGGGGGCCAGACAGTGGCTTTCTAAATGCAAGTGGAAGTTTTTAAAACGTCCTTCCTCCCGCCCATGGTTGTGTACATACAAGCATTCTGGCAGGGTAGAGCTTGCTTATTGTGCCGGTGTATGTGTCCCCCCCCCTTCGCCTCCGCCTATCCTAGGCCTTGCTGTGCCTAGTGCAGGCCCTGGACCAGCACAGCGGCTCTCTGAAGGGAGATCGGAGGGAGATCAGCGCACAATATCCTGCTGATCTCCCCTCCAGTCTCAGAATGTGGGAGTGGTGTACATTACATCACTTTTGTATTCAGCTGTCATTCTCTGGCTTCTGTAGCCAGAGAGATGCTGGTGAAGCAGATCTCTGCTTCATCAGCTTCTTTGGGGGCCCTGGGTGACATTAGGGATCTTAAAGACCCCTGATGTTTCCATCAAGAGGACCTGTCACTGTAAATTTGATATCACATAGGGAGCTTCTTAGCCCCCTATGTGATAACAATAAAGTTAAGTGTAAAAAAAAAGTTTAAAAAAATGAAATTACAAATAAAACACAAAAAAATAAAAATAAAACGCAATTTTTTTTAAAGTCCCATGCCCCCATGTACACACTCAAACTTCTCTTGAACATGCAGCAGCTCCTACAAGCTGCTGTCACTCAATGATTGTGGTGGATCTAGACATTATTGTCAGGCTCACTTTTTAGCACAGAGCTTAGCCCCACACACAGTACATTACACTGAATTGCATGCTTATGGTACATTTTTGATACAGGAGTACTTTGCAAAATGTACTCCTGTATCATAAGGAAACAAAATGCAAAAAAAGATGTACCCCATAATTCTCCTTTAAGAAAACACTCCTAGAAAACTGCTGTGAGCTAATTTTAGGGGTATGGATGTGTGCTTTACTTTTTAGTGCACATTGTATCAATGCATTCATTAATTACAAAGCACTTCACACCTCTCAGTCACTGAACTCATATCCCGCTAGCTTTGCTGCCAGTATTAGAATTATAGTGGAATAAAGGGAAGGCTAAAGAAAGGCTCATTGCTATCAATAGACATAAGTGAGTCAGAGGTCATCCATTAGAGTATTAGAGTAACGCAAACCTATACTCACCATAATTCACATAAACTGCCAGCCGAATATCAATGCAATATGTACGCTGGACTGTCCCACTGTGAATACCAGACAGCAGACTACACTGCATTTGTTTACTTATTAGTAACTGAAACTGTTGAAAGTCATGACATCCTACATTTTTACATACCACTATAGTTTACATTTTGTTTGTCTTAGCAAAACATTTGGCATGTGTGTTTAACAAATCTTGACCTATGCCCTAAGTCTTTTTTATCCTTTTTTTTTTTAGATTTACTTGAAGAACAGGAATTTGTACACTGTGGAAGCCAATAATGCGCGTCAGTTGGTCGAAAGTGCTGCAACTAACATCGAAAAACTACTACGGAACCGTTCTAAAGCTCTTGTGGTAAGTGATACTTTTTTTCTATAGACTACAGTGTAGTAGATATTCAAAGTTAAAGCAGAAGTAAAGAAGAAAAAAAAAGGAGCTTTTTTCCATGATGCGCTGGTGCATGCTAGTACACTAGTACATTAGTCAGACTAACTAGCCAAACCAATCCCCTCCAGTGCTGCACTTCTCCCTTGCCAGTGCTACCACCTTTACCCAATCTTCTTCTGGGTTTCAAGTCTTTAGGTACTTGATTGGCCAGACCCCGATGATGTAACTCCCACATCAGGTCTGTGCACTAGGCTGCTCATGTGCGGCTCAGTGTATGGAAAATGATTGCTGAATGGCAGCAAGGAGCTTTTATGACAGAAGAGGCTTAAGCCTCCCTTCTTGATGAACCAGCTGAAATTCACACAGTGGGGTCCCTGTCAGCACCCTTCAGCACGGCATCCCTCAATCAGAAAATTGAAGGAGCCAAACGGTGCTTGCAGCCTATCAGCTGCCGCCGCTGTCAGCATACAAAGCTCACAGTGAGAGATTCGCCCATCCACATTATTTAGCACGGATGGTGGAATCTGATATATGTTTTGGTTCAGCCTGCAGATTGAATGACATATTTTTTTTTACAGTGTATAGCCTACTTAAAGGAGAACTATGAGGTGAGTGCTTTTCACTCACCTCATAGTTCTAGCCGACCTGTGACAATGAGACTGTCAAAGGTCGGCTCAGTAGATCGGGAGGTGAGCGAACACATACCGGCGTTCGCTCACCTCTCGATCCTGTCACGGCTCTCTGCCATGACAGGGGAGGGGCTGGATTTTGGCTGGACAGGGAAGGGGCGGGTACAGCTGGCTCTGCCTCTAGATAGGCAGAGCCAGCTGTCAGTCACGCAGCTGGGCAGATCCTGGCACAATTGTCGGGATCCGCTTCAGCTGCGGCGTCTCAGTATACCGTGAGCAGCAGCTCGCGGTATACTGCGGCGTCTCAGTATACCGCGAGCTACAGCTCACGGTATACTGAGCCTAGGGTGACGGGAGGATGCTAGTTTGTGTCCTCCCGTTACCCTAAGGAGAACTATGGGGAAAAGCCTTAACCCCATAGTTCTCCTTTAACACACACTCTTCTGTCATAGAAAGCTTGTCAATCAGTAAACATTTGGAATACACTTCAAAAGTGTATTTGGAAGTGTATTTGGAATAAACTTCTGTAGTTATTTGTATTTGCTGAAAGCTTTGATAACTTAAAAAAAAAAACACTTAAACGAGTCTCAGTTTACAGAATATACATGTGGTAGTTGTTAGCGGCATGTTTGTGTGCACGCACACGCACACGCACACACACACACACACACACACACACACACACTGAACTGGGTGGACCTGTGTCTTTATTCAACCTTACCAACTATGTACAAGTCATCTCCTGCCAGGATAGTGTTTATTTGTGTGCCCAGTCTCCTACTCTGCCAGCAGGGATGTGGCAAACAGCATCTTTTTTTTTTTGCTTTTTTGAAGAACTCTTTTAAACCATGCTTTAATGTGATTCCACTGGGTTGACCACATAGAGTTGTAGCCTACATAGATGCTTTCATACAGTGCATTGCATGGTTGCACTTCTAATAAAATGGCTTATTGCGCAGCAAATTTATAATCTACTGTATAAAAATTTGTGAAAATCACTACCTTTTACAAAAAAAGAGCTGAGCAACGCTAGTGTTTTTTCCAATTTTTCCAAAACAGGTGCTATTGGTAACAATTCTTGCTACAGCACCTCCAATAGTATTTCTGATTCTACCCTCACAGTTGTACATCACACAATGATGGAACATATGTTATTCATCTCAGGTGTGGAAAAAATATTTGCAGCCATAGCTCCTTTAGTTTTTCTTTGCTGAGGGGACCATCCTCCCCTCAGTTTGTGACCATCCTTTGGACTTTTGTTATTCACACCTTTCTCTGTCACGCAATTTAGTTTCACCTAGCACACACAGTTGGTGCTCTGTAGCCTGTGGAGCAGACATGATGTATCTGATAGAAGTAAGGTTAATGATACTTGGGAAAAAATTAGTATTTCAAAGCTAAAGAGCATTAGGCTTATGGAGCTGGTTAGTTAGGGCTGCTGTTGTATAGTTAGCGGCGCTGGGACATAGCTAGGTTTTGAGGTTCTGTTGTACTTATTTTCGAGCACTGTCCAGTACCTGTATATAATTTGTAAATAGCACGAATAAATGCACCAATGTTTTGCCAAGACACTTCTGGACTGGCCTCTCTGCCTAAAAGGGTTGCTGTACTCAAGGAAAATTGCACCCACTACCTATCCCCAGCTCACAACACCAATTTCTGAAATGGACTGCTTACTGTATAATGCACAATTAAACCAAGTGTACATTGCAGACCTCAATGCAAGATAATGTAATTGCTTGGATAATGTGATTATGTCAATACAATGTGTCTAGAATGGTCATCTCTTAAGTGCATCTGAAGTCTGTGAACGCATTTCTATGCTAGAGGATGCTTCAAGTGACAGTTGTTTAGAGTGAAGGTCATCAGAAGCTCCCAAGAAGCACAAGAATAATGCACTTGGTTCCCTGCTTTTCTACCATAGAGGTGTCGGGAGGCTGTCTAGACCCCATCTAACCTCAGTGCCCCAAGAATACATTGTTTCACATGGAAATGCAGGAGCTTTGTCAGTATTTTCCTGCAATTGTCGATGCTTTAGGAGTTACTTGTGATACAAATCCTACCACTCTTTAATAGCTAGCACGAAGTCTGCCTTAAAAACAAATGTTAGACTACTTACTTTCTACTAGCATGGTAAACTAAGGACTGCTAGTGGATAAACAATCTATTCATGTGAATGGCTGAATAGAGCTTTTCCCTACACCCAGACACACATACTGCGAAAAAGAAATATAAAGGGCTTCCTGTAGGAGTATACCTTAAACACAAAAAGGAAAAAATAGCCGAAGGTTTCCCAAAGATTGGAGCCTCCAGGCATATAGAAATCAAACTAAACCTCTAATCCTCAAAGAACCCTATATAGGGCTACTGTAGTTCTATTATCCCTGTAAAAAATTTATTTAAAATGAGGAAGTCGCCACAGAAAAGCTTTTTATGTTTCTAATTTTCATTTTTTTGTATGCAACGCCCTTATATGTATTTTGTGCTCCAGATATCATGAAGTAATTAATTGTCTCTGTTATGAAGTATGAAGATACAGTCGTTATGTTGGCCAGTTCAGGTCATCCCAAAAGTGACTTGGCAGCTTTTCCCACCCAGAGCTCTAAGAAATCTCCTGGCTCCAGGATCCCAACCTTGATCCAGAAAACCCGGAAAGAACTGAAAAGGCAGTTCTCTCCTGGTACCAGTAATGTCTTCCTGGAGCCACTCAGCCCCTCTGGCTGAGAACCCTGGGTGACTTTGAGGCCACCTAACACCGTGGTATTGCCTCACAATGCCACACCATATAGCTATGGATAGATACAGTAGATCTATTTATCTATATAGCTATATAGATAAGTAGATCTAATATATATATATATATATTCAGTATATTTATTCTTACAGTATTGGGAGAATATACTTACCCACTTGCGTTTCTACTACCATCATTGATGTCAGTGGGCATTTTTTGTTCTTACTTATATCTTTGGATCATCCTGACGTCTCCAAAGCAGAATTAGGATTGGGCGTTGAGAGCAACCATCCAGAGAACATGTGTGAGACAAATGTATTCTCCCCAAGCGCATACTCTAGGTTGTGTACACCATTATTGGGCCACATCTCTTTTGTCAGCACATCCGCAATAACAGTAATGGCCCGTTAACACGAGCCTGCAGCATTTCCCCTTGAACTTGTGTCCACTGTGTGTGGTGCACTGTTTACATTTTATTTCTTTTAAACTTTACTCAAATGTCAAAAAATTAAATTTCATTCAAGTTAGTGTGCCGCAGTTGAGTTGTGCTGTAGTGCCTTCCAGTCCAGTGAGTTGCAGAAAGATGTGGCATGCCCGCATTTTTCCACAATGCACAGCAACTCACCTGAAGTCAGTGCTGCAGTGGTAACAGGGCACATAGAAAATGATTGTTTTCTGTGTTCCCTGATGATGACTTGCGTTGTTCTTATGCAGATAAACACAGGTTATACAGATAGAAGGGAATTTATTAAAAACTGGAGCAGACAAAATCTGGAGCAGTTGTGCATGGCAACCAATCAGCTTCTCTTTTATTTTCAAATCCTAACTAAACAAACTGAAGAGAGAAGCTGATTGATTGTCATAGGTAACTGCTCCAGATTTTGTCTGCTTCAGTTTTGATAAATTCCCCCAATATTTAGGCAATGGACACCTGCCCCCCCACCCCCATCCCTAATTATGCCGGAAATGTTTGCTGAAACCTAGAATTTTCTTTTTTTTCCACCATTACTTAGGTCTCCATACATTAGACCAAATAAAGGCACACCCAAGGAGGAAAGGGACAGAGGGATTTGGTTCCAAATGAGGGACAGTCCCTCCAAATGAGAAATATTTGAGAGGTTTGCAGGAAGTGTATGTATGCACGTATGGTGTGAACAAATCCCTAACTATTAATCCCCTTGCCTTCCATGTGATGGAGATAAAGAGAGCAAGACATGTTTGCAGTCCTGTCCCTGCATAGGTTAATAAGCGTAGCTACCCAGGGCAGGAAGTGCGTTTTTTGAAGGATTATCAGGTGACAATAAATGAAAAAAGAAAACTAAAGCAGCCGTCACATCTAAATACTGTTAAACTGTAATATATAAAATTTTTGTTTTTGAGCTTAGATACGTTTTTTTGCCTGTATATGTTAAAAAGCTAACTGGGAATTAAATGGTATTGCATAGATACATTAACCACCTTACGTCCGGCCGTTGTAACTATGGGGGCCAGACAGTGGCTTTCTAAATGCAAGTGGAAGTTTTTAAAACGTCCTTCCTCCCGCCCATGGTTGTGTACATACAAGCATTCTGGCAGGGTAGAGCTTGCTTATTGTGCCGGTGTATGTGTCCCCCCCCCTTCGCCTCCGCCTATCCTAGGCCTTGCTGTGCCTAGTGCAGGCCCTGGACCAGCACAGCGGCTCTCTGAAGGGAGATCGGAGGGAGATCAGCGCACAATATCCTGCTGATCTCCCCTCCAGTCTCAGAATGTGGGAGTGGTGTACATTACATCACTTTTGTATTCAGCTGTCATTCTCTGGCTTCTGTAGCCAGAGAGATGCTGGTGAAGCAGATCTCTGCTTCATCAGCTTCTTTGGGGGCCCTGGGTGACATTAGGGATCTTAAAGACCCCTGATGTTTCCATCAAGAGGACCTGTCACTGTAAATTTGATATCACATAGGGAGCTTCTTAGCCCCCTATGTGATAACAATAAAGTTAAGTGTAAAAAAAAAGTTTAAAAAAATGAAATTACAAATAAAACACAAAAAAATAAAAATAAAACGCAATTTTTTTTAAAGTCCCATGCCCCCATGTACACACTCAAACTTCTCTTGAACATGCAGCAGCTCCTACAAGCTGCTGTCACTCAATGATTGTGGTGGATCTAGACATTATTGTCAGGCTCACTTTTTAGCACAGAGCTTAGCCCCACACACAGTACATTACACTGAATTGCATGCTTATGGTACATTTTTGATACAGGAGTACTTTGCAAAATGTACTCCTGTATCATAAGGAAACAAAATGCAAAAAAAGATGTACCCCATAATTCTCCTTTAAGAAAACACTCCTAGAAAACTGCTGTGAGCTAATTTTAGGGGTATGGATGTGTGCTTTACTTTTTAGTGCACATTGTATCAATGCATTCATTAATTACAAAGCACTTCACACCTCTCAGTCACTGAACTCATATCCCGCTAGCTTTGCTGCCAGTATTAGAATTATAGTGGAATAAAGGGAAGGCTAAAGAAAGGCTCATTGCTATCAATAGACATAAGTGAGTCAGAGGTCATCCATTAGAGTATTAGAGTAACGCAAACCTATACTCACCATAATTCACATAAACTGCCAGCCGAATATCAATGCAATATGTACGCTGGACTGTCCCACTGTGAATACCAGACAGCAGACTACACTGCATTTGTTTACTTATTAGTAACTGAAACTGTTGAAAGTCATGACATCCTACATTTTTACATACCACTATAGTTTACATTTTGTTTGTCTTAGCAAAACATTTGGCATGTGTGTTTAACAAATCTTGACCTATGCCCTAAGTCTTTTTTATCCTTTTTTTTTTTAGATTTACTTGAAGAACAGGAATTTGTACACTGTGGAAGCCAATAATGCGCGTCAGTTGGTCGAAAGTGCTGCAACTAACATCGAAAAACTACTACGGAACCGTTCTAAAGCTCTTGTGGTAAGTGATACTTTTTTTCTATAGACTACAGTGTAGTAGATATTCAAAGTTAAAGCAGAAGTAAAGAAGAAAAAAAAAGGAGCTTTTTTCCATGATGCGCTGGTGCATGCTAGTACACTAGTACATTAGTCAGACTAACTAGCCAAACCAATCCCCTCCAGTGCTGCACTTCTCCCTTGCCAGTGCTACCACCTTTACCCAATCTTCTTCTGGGTTTCAAGTCTTTAGGTACTTGATTGGCCAGACCCCGATGATGTAACTCCCACATCAGGTCTGTGCACTAGGCTGCTCATGTGCGGCTCAGTGTATGGAAAATGATTGCTGAATGGCAGCAAGGAGCTTTTATGACAGAAGAGGCTTAAGCCTCCCTTCTTGATGAACCAGCTGAAATTCACACAGTGGGGTCCCTGTCAGCACCCTTCAGCACGGCATCCCTCAATCAGAAAATTGAAGGAGCCAAACGGTGCTTGCAGCCTATCAGCTGCCGCCGCTGTCAGCATACAAAGCTCACAGTGAGAGATTCGCCCATCCACATTATTTAGCACGGATGGTGGAATCTGATATATGTTTTGGTTCAGCCTGCAGATTGAATGACATATTTTTTTTTACAGTGTATAGCCTACTTAAAGGAGAACTATGAGGTGAGTGCTTTTCACTCACCTCATAGTTCTAGCCGACCTGTGACAATGAGACTGTCAAAGGTCGGCTCAGTAGATCGGGAGGTGAGCGAACACATACCGGCGTTCGCTCACCTCTCGATCCTGGCACGGCTCTCTGCCATGACAGGGGAGGGGCTGGATTTTGGCTGGACAGGGAAGGGGCGGGTACAGCTGGCTCTGCCTCTAGATAGGCAGAGCCAGCTGTCAGTCACGCAGCTGGGCAGATCCTGGCACAATTGTCGGGATCCGCTTCAGCTGCGGCGTCTCAGTATACCGTGAGCAGCAGCTCGCGGTATACTGCGGCGTCTCAGTATACCGCGAGCTACAGCTCACGGTATACTGAGCCTAGGGTGACGGGAGGATGCTAGTTTGTGTCCTCCCGTTACCCTAAGGAGAACTATGGGGAAAAGCCTTAACCCCATAGTTCTCCTTTAACACACACTCTTCTGTCATAGAAAGCTTGTCAATCAGTAAACATTTGGAATACACTTCAAAAGTGTATTTGGA